AAGTCAGATGTGTTTAATGTAAATACGCTGTCAGATCCCTTCCAGCAAATGACATGAGCAGATGATTAACAGTGTTCTCAATAGTTTTTTGCATAATCTGCCAATTTGGTGGAACACTTCAACTGTTCTCACAGAACATTAATTTTGTCATTTAAGATTTTGTAAATGTTCAACTATGAAGCTGTTATACGAATAAAACTATAGTAACTACTTGTAGCGATAAGAACCTATAAATCCCCAGATCGCTACATACTTGAATGCTTTCTTGCTGGACGAGAAGTGTATGTTTGGGGAAACGGAATGCATTTTCGACTCTGCACAGGTCACATATTTCATCGTTGTTGAACAGCACTGAAAACATAGGCTGCCTTTATTTCGACCATGTTAAAAACCATACGGTGTATAACGTGTTAATTTACATCTTCGGGAGCTGCATAAAACACATCAAAGAAGGTTCTGGAATCTTGTGTATTTGATACTTGGTAGGAGTGAGCTTTTGTCAACAACAAAAAAAAAACCAAGATAATTTAAAAGAGACAGAGAGGAAGAAAGAAAAATCCGAATGTGTCCCCTGGGTATTTTAAGGCTGTGAGATTGTAAAAAAATTCTGTAAGATTTACGATTCATTTTATATGTTTTTTAGAATTTATTTTTTAGAATCGTGCTAAGAGTGCGCTAGATCCTGTAGGAGTTGTGTGAAGGATATCCTTTGGAGTATTTGGCAACCATTTGGCAAAAGGCAAAGATAATCGCCTCCACATTTGTGGGAAGTCTCTTGTCTCTTAAAGTACAGTATTGCGGGGGACTGATACTTTGAGAAGTGATTCTTTAAAGCCCCGTTAAAAGATGTATTCACTAACACTGGACAAACATGTGAGGGTCACAGTGAAATAACTAGCAAGTCTTTGAAAGGACACATGATGAAATGCTGGGCAATTTTTAAAATAGCTCTAGGGCGTAGAAGATCCAGAGAGCAGCGTCAATCTTCTTGTGGTGTTTTTGTAGCAAAATAGGTGGCTTTAAAAAAAGAACTGGAAATGAGAACAGTTTTGAAGAATACAGAACAGGAAAAGGTCATTTGACCCATTGAGCTGGATCCTTCCACAAACCACATTTCACCCCACCCAATCTAAACCTATCTGCTGAGAGAAAACTGTGCACCAGATTTTCCCTGATGGTCTTTCTCCATTTCAGATTTTCTTATATTCTTAAGTGACCTATCTTTGTCACCATAACATGTGCATGTAAATACAAAGAAAGTTTTACGAGCTATCCATGGATACAACGACAATTTAATTTAGACTACGTTTGGATCGTTTGAAAAAAGAACCATTTGTTTTTTTGCCAAACATTAAAAAAATAGTTTGCAGTCAGTCAGGCACAGAGCTCACTCATTTGTAAGCAGGAGAAGCATGCTCGGCAGAAAATAATTGGGTTTTAGGTCAATGTCTTCTTTACACGAGTGTGAACGTTTTCCGATTTGGGTATTTAAAAATGCTTCGAACGTGGAGAAATTAACTTCCCCATAAACTGCCACAAATTAATTTCTTCTGAAGGTGAAATAGTTACATCAACGCTCTTGTAAATACCTGCAGCGAACATCGTATGATATGATGGACATTGAAAAGGAGGTACAAATGAGGAGCAACAGACACTGGCACTAAAGCAAATTATACTCGTAGAGTTTACTAATTCATCTCAGGTTACAGGTGATGGCCGTGGTCTGCCCAACCTTCATGTTTGTACTTTAAATTGAAGCCCACCTCTCAGCTCAGTGTTGCTCGCTGTGAATTTTATGATTATTCTGTAACAGTGGCATGGATACTGGCATGTGAGAATTTGATAACAAATGAATTGTGGCAAATGCAGAGCTCTTTCAGCTTGGTAAGGTATCCCCAACATCCCAGAATAGCCGGCTCTATCCTGGTTGGCACTTTTACTAAATCCAGATTTTGAGGAACACTCCTGGTATTATTGTTTATAAAAAAAAGGGTCATTGTTACCAATTCGCTTGCTCTAAGATTGGATGGAATGAAGCTCCTGCTATTGTGAAATTACTCCCCAATTACAGTGAAAATCAGATTAGTAATCTCCCATTGTTTGGCTGATGTGGAGGAGAGAAATGCACCTTGTAGATCAATAAAAATAGTGCCGTAGGACATAAAAGTGTTTAATCTCTTTCAACGCCATGCCTGAATGTCTCAACTACACTTAAAAAGATTCATTCCAGTCCAACCACAGGAAGTAGTCTTGAGATTGTAATTCCGTTAGCAAAATATGCAGATAATTTGAGGTCAGGCTTGAAATCTGTGGAAGCAGATAATACCAGCATCGACAGCCGACCTAAGCACCTGCAGAGCTATGACCAGGTCTGAAACATCTAGGTCTAATGAAGAACGTGCTGCTGCACGCTTCATAAAGCCTTTTACATTGTAACTCCTGTTTACCCCCACACTGCAGGATTTCATTATTTTTGAAGCTGGCCACTGGAGCATTTCAGAGATTTCCAGCTGTCTTTCCTACCCCACATCCCAGTCCCTGACCAGGATCGTTTTCCTCCACCTCCGTCATGATCCCTGCCTCCGCGACATTAACCCGAAATGAAGGACCCGATATAAATGCAAGTTGTTGTGGTTTCAAACCAAGACCCGATTTCCACTGATCGTCGACAGTCAACAATGGAACATTAATATTAAGTAATTCATTGCTACGTTGCTAGGTTGGGAGAAGTGTGGCTGGACTTGTAAGAGTAGAAAAGAACATGAGAAGCCCGGATAATAGGAATTGAAAAGATTAAGCGGGTGTGATTTTCCCATCAGTGTCATGGAGAGCTGTAACTCTCACCGGCAGTGACCACATTTTCCACCTGACACTCACTCTATGCAAACCACTGCTGGCAGATTTCCCATCACTCTGAGTGCCGGAGGTACAGAGTCACTGTTGGGACAAGTCAGCAAAGCTGTTGCCAGATTCCAACCAATTCAATTTTTTTTATTGTGTGGGCTTCTAGCAGTGAAAAAGTCACATTAGAAATGATCTTAATTTTCCATCAAGTGATAAACCTGGCTGGTCCATGTGTTACACAGCTTTGAGGAGATACAGTATTTGGCTTTTTAAATCTTTTCACGAATCCAATAAGAACCTATTCCTTCAACCTCTGGACCTCGGCTCAGTAGAACTGAAGTCCCCTCTCTCATAAATCCGTGTGGTTAATGGGAATCTGAACCCAGTTGGTGCAGATTCACAGCACATGAATGTCCATGGTTTGTGTGTGTTTAATTGGCAGCCACATCAGAAATGTCGGTGCGAAATAGGGGAGAAAAAAATTACATTGTTGAAAGGGCCATGCTCAGAGGCTGGGTGGAGGAATATGGTTGAGGCATTTTTATTTCTGTGTGTCTGCCAATGCTAAACACTGGCACTTGCATAAAGTGCTCAGTTCTCAGCAATAGCATTTCTCAGCTCGATGGGAATTTTTTTTGAAAAAGTACCACCTTTACCCCACCGGCAGTCGAGCAGCTGACTGCTCCTTGGGCTCTATTATTAACCAGCTTGTTCTTTAAACAAGACACAGATTGGATTTAGAACAGAAATCAACATTACCATTGGTAAACGTACCCTTCTAGTGGGAAAAATAGCACCTCTGGTGCGAATATACTGTAACCACACATTCCCCCTTCATTACACACACTGGATATTTTACAGTAACTTTTCTCAGCTTTCAATCAAAATTGTGTTCGGAATTAATGCTATATAAGAACTCCCCTGGCCAGGTCATGTCCAAATCTCATTATTTAATCTCAGATGGAGTACACTTAGAATGGGACAAATGACCTCAGTTACCCTCGGTTAGACCAACCTCCTGGACAACTTGACCAAATATCCTGGTGGAAATAATGATTTCTGGCCTACTCTCTTCTAGTAATGGCCACTGTGCAACCTGTATTGCTTTCCTCAAGATTTTCAGGTAGTGGTAAAGGTCATGACAATTAGCAGTAAAATATCTTTCACTCTGTTAACAATGGCAAAAGGTGTGTCAGGACTCAAGGTTGGCAACGTTCCCTCTCCCGCTTCATAAATAGCATCACAACACTAAAAAGTAGGGATTATATTGTATATTTGAATCTATTCTGTTTCTGCCAGGTGTGTAAAAGATACCAAAATAGGGTAGTGGAGGTACTATTGGTGAAAACTTCCATTATCCATCCATCAAAAGAAAAATCCGGCTCTATATGTACAAGTGTCAATAATCTCCAAATGGAATACAGGCTTAACCCAGGAAACATGAAAGTAACTTGAAAGTGGCAGCAGTATTGGTGATTAGACATTTCTAATATAGGAGTTGACATTTTCTTAAATAGTACAGAGCTGGAATTTGTTATTTACTGGAAGTTATAAAAGGCCAGTTATATCATATCTACACGGTGACATTTTATGGGCAAGCTGCTATGCTAATTCACTGACTGATTCTAAGCGTTGCAGAGCACCAGACAAATTGTCGGAAACCCTCTTATTTGTAGAACCCGAGTGAAAATGGGCAGTTGGTAGAAAGGAAGCTTCTTTTATTGTATCTTCTAATGATGTTTTAATGCATTTAGTACAATTGATTCAAAGGCTTTTAATGCGTGTGCATACACCATTCCTGAGCAGTGCAATATATTTCAAATGACATTCTTAGAGAGCTGGGACTATGTAAGTGACATAAATAACATTGGGATCTGGGTTCGAGCATTGAATCTACAAAAGCAACATACATGTCTTTCAATAATGTATGTATATTAATAGCATTAAGTAGATGTTGTTCTATTTATTGGCCTACACTTGCTGGATTTCAAACCTCATGTATTAAACGTGATCTGCTCAGTTCTCCTGTGGGCTCAGTACTTTCAGCCATTACAAAATATCGTCAATAAATTAAGGCACAGATGACCACAGGACTGCAGTTAATTGCTATCCAAAGAAAAATGGACCATATGATTTTAACTCCTTCTGTACCATTCTGCTGGATCAAGGCTTGTAATTGAATTTTATTCGTGATTGATACAATTTTCACTTTGCTGGTCACAATTAATACATTGTTGTTAAGGCTGGGTTTGTTTGTACAGGAGATCCACAATTAGTTTATCTTCCAATGTATTGAAAATAACCGACTTCCAGGTCACAGCTGATGCCACTTCTTGGGGGCTGCACTTGCGCGGAGATCCGATACCAGGAAGTTGGCCATACTATAGCAATGCGAAGCCAGTGGGTGTCTGTAGAATGCAAGAAATGATGTCAGCAAGGGCTATTTTCCAGGAAACAGCATCAACCGCGTTTTTTGTATATTACACACGTGCGCAGTGCACAAGAAGTGATGTTGCCGCTGCTACCGAAACATATATAGCATAGCAGTGTAAAGTATTTTAGCAAAACTAAAACAACACCATTTGTAGTCAAACGCTCGAGCAATACATTAATATGAAATAAACTCCAAATTAGATATCATACAATTGTGTGTTTGTGTGTGGAATCTGAAGGAAACATGTTTGAGTTTTGTTTTGAAAATATCTGTTTCCCTGAGTCTTAGTTCATTTCTGAATGCCCTTCACTGAAGGGCATCGCACCTCTTTGCGACATCACTCTGGTCTGGTAAATCTTGAGTAATTTGTGGTGGATTACAGGAGCAGTACACATAATTATATTGGTATGAATAATACTAAAAGGCCATTTCACAACACCCAGAACACAGAAACACACTGAGAACAACTGAACTGTTCAGTCACATGGATTGAAGGGAACATTATCCTGGGGCGGGGGGTGGGGGGGGAAGCTTTTCCATTGTAAATCCCTAGAAATGTGGGAGAATAAAATTCTTTGCAATACCTTCTCCCTGAAAGGTGATATTTCCAATGTGAACCTGACAAGTTGTTGGAATGGTGCCATTTCGAGGTTTCTGGCCAAAGAGAACTCTCAGATAATGTATAATGTGGTCAGCTGTTATTATTGAGTGGGATTGGAGTTCTTTCTGATCCTGGTTGTTGATCCCAGGGCAACAGGACCATTAAAAAGTTCATTGCTAGCCAGGACCTTCATCTTTTCTCCCCAGAGTAATGTTCCTTTGTAGAAATTATTCCTGTGAAAGAACAGAGCTATGCAACGCTCTGCTTCACCATTTCAGAAAAAGCAGCATGACCACATGTCAAGCCTCCGTTGTGTATTCCAAGATTATTATTAATAAACAAGCCTGCCTTCTGAAGTGCTCTTGTTCCCATTTCATAATCGATAACATCAAATCTTCTGGTGGATATTCAATGAGGCAAATCAGATCCATCTTCAGCTAGGTTCAATAATCAAACTGTTAAGACAGTTTGTCATGTTTATTATGTTGCTGATCAAATTGGATCAAGAATAAGGCACATTTTCCCTCAAATCATTCAGTGGTACAGTAACAGTAACTTATGCTGTGGGGGAGGGGTTAAATCTGATTTCTACTTTCATCAAACCAGATGTCCCATTAAGACCAGATGTTTGTTTTTTAAAGTTCCAGTAGTTCAGTTACTGAAAATCATTCTTTCCATTCCAGTCTACAGTAGACTGTAGGACGCTGCCGGGCTGCTTTATGGTCAGTGACGAGACTTGGAACATTCTTATGGAATGTTTATTTGTAGTTACACAGAAAGCATGTTTGTCATCACATTAGCCAATTGCATTAGGCTGCAACCAACTGCAGCTTTCTGGGATTTCTCGTGAGGCTGCAGAGCGCTAGTTAGTTGGGGTGGGGGAGGAGGCTCTCTCGTGCAAACTCAGCCGTTCCTTCAGTTACAAATCCATTCATCTGACATTCTCAAACTAATATTTAAGTGTCATTGATATTCAATTACAGTAACTTCATTAACAATTGGATAAGTGCAGATACTGAGGGGTGTGGCAGAGAGATGGGGCATGTAGAGAAGGTTTGTAGTGTGTTCCCCGTGGAATAATCTTTGGTGGGGCAGACCCCTGTAGTCACCTCCCACTCACGTATAAACATAGGAAATGTGGTCCAATGGACTAAATGGACCTTCTCCTGTTCCTAGCTATGGATATTCCTAAGTGAGAGGTATGTGATTACAGGAACGTGATTACAGGAACGAGTCAGGCTGACCATAGAAGAATCTCTCATGCAGCAAGGCCTATATGATGTTGATAAAGGTTTGTTCTAATAAAGCACTCCAGCCCATGCACCAGCACCTCCGCAGCCATTATCAATGTTTAATGAGGAGAAGGCCTGTGGCCAAGAAAGGTTCACTTCTACAGATAACATCAATCAAAAGTATTGGTCAGTGAGGAATGAGGTAACACTTAATATAAGTAATATATATTTTAATGTTTAATTTTGAGGGGGGGGCAATGGGGGAGGGTATATAAAGGAAGAACGGTTAAGGGAACAGACTTGCAAAGCTTACACCTCCCTTCCAATGCTATCTTTAGTTGAGATGAGTGGATGGGCCTGACTGCTCAGGAGCAGTACATGCTGAGCATCCTCCTGCTGAGACTGCAAACTCAGCGAGCCCTTCACAAGTGTGTGATCGGCAACTGAGATGTGGATTCACACCTTCATCCCTTTAATCTTCCACCCTAGAGTCCAACGCTTAATTGCAGCCACTAAATCACTCTAGAGGTTAGACCTTCCCCTGGCCTAATATTGCTGTGACCTGTATCTTTAAGTCTGCAAAGAGCGCACTAATCTGAAAACTACTATACAACGTGCATTAAAAGAGTGAATAACTCCCAATTGGACAACAATTTGCAATTACACCCACTTAGTTAAATTGATGCTAAAATGCCGCAATTTTGCAAAAATCCTTTTGTGATCAACACAAGGTTGTGGTGCTGTGCAAGCCTAACTCTGCATGTTGTATAATGTATTAACTTGCTCAACATGGCTCTTTTATGGAACTTAGACAGCTCACAACTACTGAACACAACAGCGTGTGGGATAAGGAAATGGAGCTGTACTACACAAAAGCATGTTTATTACAAGTGAGATTCTGCATCACTCTTGTTCACTTGGGTGCAAATGGGAAAGGTCCTCTGCCCTCAATTGGGCAACCTCACGTCAAGTCAAAAGATCCTAATTCCAAAAAAGTATTTTCTTTACTTGAGGCCAAACTAATGTAAGGTTAGGTGACACCTATTACCCAGGTGTAGAAGTTATAGTACAAACATTTATATAAACTTGCTCAGATTTGATGTTTCGAACTCTCCCAACTGAAGGAGTTGCTGTATTGATGATCTTGTTTGGATAAGTCTTTGCCCTGGAACACAGTTGGAGGACAGGTGCTGACTGAGATGAACAAATGCTAAACTGAACATAAAACCATTTGGTTGCATTAACCAAAGCCATGGACACTATAGTGAATAGGGTGTGTGGGGGTAAGGAAAACTAGGAATTGTTGGATATTCAGGAGTTTTCATGTGATTTGTCTTAAAGGCTCAGGGAGTTTCCATGCAGAACTTTCTCCCAGTGGCCAGGGAAGGTTTGTGGAGTGTTACATTTGAGGGATCAGTGGTGGGAGCCAGAAGTAGGGTCCTAATGGCCTGTTTTCTCATTCCATGTTAAAAATGTTCTTCATTCCATGTTAATGAATTGTATAGAATTTAAGAAGTTCATCTTAAAAGGAATTAACACCCAATTCCTTTGCAATTCTGAGTTCCGGATTGAATTGTAAACAACCTCTTCTTAACCCATTAAAATGAATAAAAACGAAAAGTGGGAAATTAGAAAGGAAAACATGTGGAGTGCATTACCCTTAAATTCGGGGTTATTAGATTTTATTCTCAAAGATGGTTTTGATTACACTGTGCCACTGTCTTCTTGCCCTACACATCTTAGGGATAAAATTAGAGTTAATTTTATAATCTGAATTTAAACAAAACATCGACTGTCCCCTTCACAAGACTGACATTCATCAGCTGCATTTACGATGCATGACGCATTTTAGACACTTTATTCAGTTTCATTCTCTCTGTTCTTGCGTATGCAAACGGGTCAACGATGAAGCACAGCACAATGAACATGCTGAAAATTGATACGTATCCACTGCAGCTTTTTCAGAAACCTAAATAAAGTCAAAAGCAGGATTGTTCATCCCGAACAAAGTGATACACAGTATAAATGCCACGTTTTATTTACAGCTGGGTTTACAGTGTTAAAGTTTTCAAAATGGCAATCAATCACCCATTCTTTCCCATTATGATGACGGCACACAATTAATGTCATGTGCACCATACCCCCAGCCTAAACATCATATAATATTTAATCAACAGAGCAGCCGATTGCCAATTTCCCACCCATCCAATTCACAAACCTTAAAGGGCTATTGTTGTCCTGAGTAATTATGTTTTAACAGGTTTGTAACATTGAAGGATTACTGAGTCTATGATATCTCAGTACTGACCATGTGCTCAGAGAAAAGTAGATTTAGTGTTAAGAGTTATTGCCCTGATCGGTGAGGTTACCGATCATAGCAAAAATGAGTTAGTGTAAATATCAGGTTTAACGCTATTCCTAATATTCCTCTACTTGAATTACTCACACACACACTGTCTTGTTTTCTTAAAGGCTATTAAAGTATGAGTGGCTTGTAAATTAAACACTGGAGAAAGCACAAAGATCAAGGAGTACAAACGTCAATAGGTATGAGGATTCCTTCTGTTACCTGGAGGTCAGTCACTCTGACCCATGGAACTCCGCTCCAACACATTGTACACCCGGAGCAGAGTGCCCATGGGTCAACAGAAAATTAATACGATTTCTTATCAAACAGTCGGGTTAAGAAATACCACGAATTAGACCCCGTACGGAAAAGCTAACGGACCTTAATGTTCGCCATCAGAGAGTAGAGTTTTACAGCTATGCAGACATTCATCCCCAAAGAGTCTTATTAAAAAGAAGTGAAGAAATGAAGAGCATAATATCACATCACCAGAGATCTACCATCTACTACAGTGGATATATTCCTGACAGCTGATGTGACTGCTTTCTAAAGGACCATTAGATGAGACCATTCTTATCAGTTTCAGGAACTACTTCTTTATGCTGAATTCCTGTTGAACCAGGGCAATTAGGTGGGAAGACCTCACTTCCATAGTACCACTGAATGAGATGCAGATTTGAAGTTCACCATGATAGCAAAATCTCAGGGTATGAGACAGTGTTGTGAGAAGATACCCATCAGAAGCCAGGTGGGAAATTGACGCAGTCAAATGGCAGCTTTCAATCATCTCCTAG